AGTCATTAAGAATGACAACAGATCATTCTTAGAGGCACTATTGTGAAAAAGTGGTCCAGAAAACTTGGGCATTTTAGCTTCTTCCAAATTTGAATCAAATGATGAAAGGTCGAAAATGCGTAGGTTAGCAATCACGCTTCTATTTTATTGGGCGAAAATCATCTTTTTGAAGTAAGGTAAATCAACATAGGACCAAAATTAACGGATTTTCCCATCAACACTACTAGGGGCAACTGTATACCCGAAACACCAGGTTAGCTTCGATTTTTTGGCGAAAAGTTCAACGCCCTGACACCAAGGTATTGGCTGTAAGTCCTCCTAGCGAGTCTTCAGAAAATATTAGCATACTGTAAACAGACTTAGTTGATGACTGAAGAGTGGATGTCTCATCGCTGAGTCGGATTTTACTTCATTTCTACAAACTGTTTATGTAGCTTGTACAACTTGAAGAATATCCCGTAAGTCAGAGCATCAGAGTTGAAGCTGAAAGAAGAATGATAAATTACGTGCAAGTGCTTTTCCGACATCAGCCGAACAATATAATACGGCTGAGTGTGACAACCTGATTTCATTTTAGCTATCCGGAAGATACAGACTGAATATATTCATTTTGTCTTTTGGTAAACCGAAGTTCGCAGCTCTAATTCATGAATTACGGACTTGACTGACAATTCAAATCAGTCAAAGAGGACTGAATGCCTGAAGGATGGAAGGAGCCGGCCAACCATGATATCGTTTACTCGAATGCACGGCAGAGAGGGATAGAGTTGGTTAATATCAAAGATACCGGGAGAGTTGCTGTATTTGCCGCTTGAAGTGTTAATCAGAATTGACGAGTGGTTCTTCTGACAAAAGGGGAGTTGAGTGGGTTGGGGCAAATGTTTCCCCTACTGGAAATGTGTCTTGACGCTTTCTTTAGTGGAATTCAACATTTGGGTGCTTTCTAGATCGCCGATATGACGATTTGTTTAGTGTCATAAGCCGGAATTCATATTCTTACTTATCCACTTAATCAAACTTAAGCTTCTTCGAGCTCGTTTGATATGGTTTGTTGCTTTGTACTTTGACTTTCTACCGTGTCTACATTCTAATTCATTGTTTGTTATTGAATGGTCTCTTACAGTTCAATTTGTGACAATCTATATACCAAGTAGATAACCACGAACAAGCTTTCTTTTGTGGTATACAGTATTTATGGTCCAAAACTCCAATTAGTATAGACTTACTCCCGCTTGATTGATCACATTTCCGTTTGTTTCACTCATCCTTTACTGGGAAAGATGCTGGCTGACAAAATGCACATGAACACAAACAATGGACTGCTCAATGTCCACAGCGATTCATCGTTGAACGACGGGGAACAAACGGACGCACAGCACTGATCATGTCAATTCAGATAATGGCAACGCGTATGCAGCCGGACCGCCCAGTTCACCAGAAGGATCAAGAACCCTCCACACAAATTAAGCCGTCAACATTTCACTCATTCGTTGTTGGTTTGTTTGCCGGGCTGAACAGCTTGTTTGCACATGTTTCACCATAAATCGGGGTGATCTCGTCAGTAGGCCATTAATTTTTAGGTTGGGGCCTACCTGAGCATTAGTGGTTATGCATATCTTCACTGCCTAAACTAACAACTTTCCTCCTATAACGATTTCCTCCCAACATTAGCCAGTGGAACTATTCGATGGAACAGATTTATTTGCAAACTACATCGGTGATAACGAAATATTCGACCAAATCCCTCGTTTTTCTGCTGCCACTCAGTTGCAGAAAATGCATCATGTGTTATAATTTGTTTGAAACAAAAATCCTAATCGCTTTGGTTTAGAAAGAGTTGAACACTGACGTCAACCTGCTGACTGGGTCTTTTTGGACTCAAACGTCCAAAACGCGGCTGATCCCCACTTTTTTACATTGGGGTTCAAATACCCACCACTTTATCAAACACTGATAACGATGTTGGGTTTTTCTCGTCAGAGATATTTGACATTTCCCATTTCCAAACTGAATATCCCTGTAGTGTGACCGGAGGTTGACAAAAAAGATACACGAAAGCGAGGTTGTTTAGGCAGTAGTTTGGTGCCAATTTTGAAGAGACAGACTAGATGTTATCAACAACCATGCGGTTGCCTTGAGCACTCAAAATCCGACGATACTGTTGTTCACAGGTTGGAATTGCGCTGGTAGAACAGAGACTATTCCGTAGTCATTCAACAGATTACCGAAGCGGCCCAGAAGAGAAGTATGATGGGTGGCAGATTCATGTAAACTTTAACCGATTCTTCCCCTAACAATGACTGAATTTGTAAATTATTGCAAAGTCTACTTGTTTTTGGACAAATTTCGTTGCAGTGTTAGTCGATGTTTATCAATGATACATGTTTGCCTAACTTGTGGGACCCCTTACTTACCTTGATTATGTTGGATTGATATTATTTTATCATAGAAATGAAATTACATTCAAAATGGCTCATATGCCGCATACTTCTTTCAACACCCCATACGTCTCTCACCATATTCTTAAAGGGAATGCGCTAATAAATGATTCACCACTGATTGAAACATTGTTTCAACACCACCAGAGGAACACACCCAAAACGATGACTGTTGTTGCCAGAGGCAACTCATACAGAAAAAGTTTTTTTGAGTAGGCTGGCCACTTTCCCAGGGGTATCAAATGGCGGCTTGCACCGCGATGAATCATACTGAATTTATGATTAAATACAACGAGCTGGTGAAATGCACTTGGCATTGTGAGCTCTTCATCTTCAAACTCTGCACGATAGCACTCCCAAGTGGACCATTTACGTTGAACTTACAGTGAACTGCTCGCGTCGCAGCATTCCAGGACGAATGTGACTGTAGTAGCTGTCTGTCAGGCCACTGGCTATGCAAACGGGCTGCGACATTCCTATAACTCACCTCAGTAAAGTTAACTTGCGCGCAAAGGACCTTTTAATGTTAAGAAATCCTAGAACGCAGGTTATACCAGTGAACCTTCAGGATCTTACGGTGCAAAGTGAAACTTTCTTTTGCCTACGGAAACGGCCGTTGTTACATTTGCGAATTTACATTTATATATTTATCCGGAGAACTCTGTTGTCCATTGGCTTTGGATATGATCCGATGCCAGTATACCCAGAAGGCTATTTAGACCCATTGTCGAATTTCTAATGTGAATAATGGATAACAGATGGGGCAAATTACGGTAAGCTGTGAGAAAAGCTTGCATCAAAAATGGTAACATGAGGGCGATCATCGACAATGATGAATCTGAAGGGAAATGGTGCAACGGTTTCCCCTAAATGATGATTTTCACTGCTGCCTCCTCAGAATTTTCATCTTTTTAATCATGCCATGGACACTGTCGGCATGATTCGGGTATCCCGCCTTTGTACCTCCTTGTCAGTCCGCACCCAGTGTCGAAATCAGTTGTTATAACCGCTAAACACGTGACAGATACTAGGACAAGGACAGATCATATGCATCGTGACCGACACAGTTTATCTCATTTTGAGTACCCATCTGTCCACTCAGCAGATACCAATGATATCATCATTCTATGACTTGAGTCAGTCACTCAGTCAGTCAATCAGTCGAACAGGTAGGCAGGTAGTCAGCAGATGAACTTATCTTGGTGATGCTGTACGGACAAGTAAAGTTGCAATATATCCACAATCATCATGATACACTTTGAAGACAGAATTTTCATCCTTACCTAAAGGCTGACTGTTTTTATTCTGGTGCCACTGTTTCAACGCAATAACCTCTCAGTTTCTCCTGTTTTAGTACCACCTTTTTACTTGAATGAAACACCAACCTTATGGTTGCAGTATATAAAACTTCCTTGGTTATGTAGAATATGTTCGAAACATCACAGTTCAATAGTACTTTTCTTGAGTAGCTTGTAGAGTTTGTGGATGTTGTTCACAGTTGAAAGATAGACGGGGTTTTTCTTTCTCGCTCTGCAAATTCGAGCTGAGTGTTGTGTTGTTGCTACTAGCCTGCACAAATATGAGACAATTTTGTCGCACGTATCGGAAGACGCGGTCGGTGCATTTCCTGTTAATCGCGATTCACAACTGGTTATAGGGTACGCAAACGAATACCCAGTGAGGTGAATCTTGAATCCGTTCACAAAATATGAAAAACAAAACCTCAGTACACCTCAAAACACTGGCTAATTATGGGTAGAAAGAAAACGGTCTTCTTGGAAAGTGACCACGTTTTGGGGACAACTTCAGTGATATGTGCTTAAGGTTGTCTCCCTTGGTTGAAAAGGACCAGTTTTACGAACCATACGGGCAAATACTACTGCTAAAACAAAGACCACTCGTTTTATAAAACCACTGACATCGTTTGCAAAAATCTTTGATGAGGAAAAAGGTGGGACCATTTTTCATAAAGTTATCCAATTTGCAATGGTTATCTCAAATGTTGTCAAAAATTGGCCATTGATTTTAACATTTCATGTGATCTGACTGTAAATTTTTGCACTACTGACAACTACAGAAGTATTCAGCGTACTCTTGTGTGTTTCCAAATTTTGAATGGCGTGTCTACGTTGGACGGCAATACTTTTAAGGCAAATTTAGCATACTAATGTGGTCTCAAGTAGCTCCTTTATTTCTTCGAGAACTTTCAGGGATGTAGGGTAGTACTGCGTGTTTATGTTGTCAGACTTACCCAGGCTGCCCATCTGAGTTCAGTTGTACCACGGTAGATTAGCATCAGGGTCTGAAACAGTACATTTGGTGAACTCCACTGAGTGACGAAGTGTTGTTTCATCTAAGATTAAAGAAAACTCGGTTTGAATTCAAAGGATTCTGTGTTTAAAGTTGAATTCTGTGTAATAACCACGGCATTCGAATCACTTCTTTTTACGACATGCTTTAAATAAAGGATAGTTGCTGTATGGCTCTTTATTTCAGATGTTCAGTTATAAAGCTGTTCTTAAATACAAAACTCTGTTTTATTGTGTCATATTTTTTCTACAGAAACAACCTATTGAACTAGGACCCCCAAAACGAAGCTTCCGATCTAAGAGCTCTGACAGCCGTCGGTCTTACCGAAGTTTCACAGGAACCGCGAATACACTTGTGATAGATACACAGTCCCAACCAACATCTGACAGTTCCGTGTGTACTGGACGAAGGCTTTTCAACAGGCGGCGGCCTAGGTCGAGCGGCAACAGAAAAAGTGCATTCAAGATCTACGCACTTGACAAACCTGCTTCACAGCAAGGAAGTCCCGAAAACAACGAAGCTTCCGATGTTCGCCATCTGATAAGTTTCAGCGCAAAAGATCAGAAAACACTCAACCGCACTGCGGTCGAACGCTGTCACCTACAGAGTGAATTTGACTATTTGGTTCGCAAAAGGCAACTCCGTTTGTGTCTGGCAACTCAACGTTGGTTTGACATCATTGGGACCGGTGATTTGTCGAAGATAGAAAAAGGTAAGCCATCTGCTCTGACATACAACAATTTCACTTCTTCTGATCAGTTCAATTACCAACTGGAGGGACTTTCCGGGTAAATCACTGCAAACAACAGAAACTGCTAATTATGGTTTCTACAGAAGCCACTGCACACTAGGTAGCAATATTTGGAGGTATCAGTCGGACAAACCTTGACGGTAGCACGGCTATGAGTTAGTTTCGTTCTCTCCTTGTTCTTCATTTACATCGGCTCATGTCTTGGAGAGTCTTCTCTTTTTTTGCAAAGGAACTCTTGACAGATTAGACTGCCTCCTAAGTCATATCGTTAGCTACAGCCCATGACCAATATGACCAAGCTATTTTACGGCGGACTGACTCGCTTTGATGTGGTCTGATCAATAGTATCGCTTCTTAGTAGTTTAGAATACTGTCATGTGGACACAGCAAAGAGTGATCGTGCTTACACGAGAAATAACTCCATATTTTCTTAATCGTTATATTAACTAGGATACGAGAGGTGACATCTTCTGTCGTCCACTACATGAGCGGCTTCGGTCTAATAAGCAACCCCTTAAGTTTAATTGACTAATTCGTCCTTCAGTCACGTGCGTACACTGATAAATTCAAGAGTCACAGCTTGACGAGGACCGTTTGCGATATCAGTATTTAAATGCCGTTTCCCTAACAAGGTATCGAGAACGTTGGCTGCAAATATTGCCCGTGGTTATGAGACATGCCAAGCCCTCCCAAGTTTTGCGTACTATGGAAGTCTGCTATTTTTGCAGCCTAATATTTTCTTAACAACTCTCGCAGATGAAATAATTTTCTAATTAGTCATGGATTTCCTTCCTGTGATTTTCAGTGACCGCTATTTACGTCCGTTTAACTCATTCCAACCGTTTGTGGCCATGACGGGCGGAATTAATTCGATCCTGAGGTGTACCAAATGGAATCTTGGGATAGGTCGACCAATCAACCGTTTCTGTCCAAAGTCGAAATACTGGGGGACCCCACGGCAAACCGTTAAGTTGTTGTCATTATTACACTTCCTCTGGCCTTTACGACGCTGAGGTGATCACAGCCTGATTAAACTTTCGGGATCGAGTGCTTTGTCTGAGCGAAAGGCATAGGATGAATGCATCCTGAAAAAGATCGCCAAAGAAAGCTCTGACTAGGCAAACAAAGCGAAGTGACTTGACATAGCATTAGAGACGTCTTGAATGCAATAAGAACACCGCTGGAAACTTTCTAAGCTTTCGGAGCATTTGGTTTCATCCCGATGCGGTGGCATCCTCAGAAAAGCTCATAATCAACAATGCAATGAGAATAATCCATACCAGAGAACTATATCCATGTTTAACTTACGTGAGCCAGTCTTCAACCACGACTTTCCGTACGACGGGCTACTGTACGTCTGTGCTGCTGACCTAGTTCTTTGACAATAGGAAGCCTCAAGTGACGAGATTGTGTCGCATACTTATTACCTTGACAGTGAGTTTGTAGATTGTGTGTGTATCTCATCTGACTAGAGAGCCAGTCAGTCAGGACAAAGTTCTTTTAGGGATGATTGTGTGGAAGTCTGAGCAGAAGGCAGCAATTAGATTTCACTGGAGTGTGGGACAAATTTATGGTTTTCAACTGAGATTCCGTACTGTCAGGTGGGCGAATCTATGCTGAAAAGTTGAGAAGTATCGTACAGCTGTTTCATCCTTATCGGGAAGCATCAGAATTAAAGAAGCTTAAGGAGTTTCGAACCCGCGACTTTCAGTTGAACACGTAGTCATTCGGTCGCGGGCGGTTGGTCAACAGTGGGTTTGCATCTCAGAGACTACCAAAAAGCTTCCTTATGTCTGTTAGCCAGTCGTTGGGTGGAAGTTCATTTCGATATAAAATACTAAGCGCCTCATTCATACGCGTTTAAATACCGTAAAGCACCAAAAAGAAACTCCCGTGTTGAAACAGTACAATGACGTTCCCCCTCCGCGAATAAAACCCTTCAAAACCTATCAAAATGTCACAATGTCTGGCGGGACAAAGATTAGCGAGGACCCTACAGCTGGTTCAGTTTGCAGAGAAAGAATTTCTAGCTTTGAGTTGTGTACACGAAAAACTGTTACTTCATGCAAACAACAAACTCCAGACTTTAATATCTTTGAATTTCTCAATTGGCACTGTTGAGGCAACAATTTCAGCATAGATTGTGATTGGCCAATTCATCTAAAACCACAACACAAGATGAGAGAGCTTCCCCTCAAACCATCATCATCATCATCATTGTCAGCTGCAATAACCGCGTACTCTTCGTACAGTGGTTGTAGCTGCCGCAGTTTCGTTCACCGGTGATTTGGGGGGGGGGTTGTAGGTAGATTCGCATTGGAGGGGGAGATGATAAATTGGTGCATAAATCCAGCACTATCAGTGGGCTGTCAAGTGGGGGGATTGGGAAGGCATTGAAGGCAATAGCTTGGATACACGGGCGCCATCGAGGGCGCGACTGGGTCATGTCTGACTATGTCTCTAGTCATTGATGCGGCCCGTCTCCGAGTCCCCATCCAGGAAGACGGCAGGGGCAAGCGCGACTGAGCTAGCTGGTAAGATGCTTGGGACTATCAAGTCTTTTCGTGCCGTGAAATCCCAAGTCTCAACTTCATAACGGTCGATGTACTTTGTCCTCTAGGAGACGGTGGAACCGCTCGCAGTTAGGACACTTCTATATTCTCTAAAGTTCACTTATAACAGCCACCTTGGTTAGCAAGCGATCAGCCTGATCTCCCAAACCAACGATCATGATCAATCATAGCTGGCTTATGTTCACTATTGGTCTCTAATAGATGCTTTCTCAGTTAGTAGTTCGCTGGTCTAATCACCAAATTATTCACTACTCTGGAGTCTATTGAAGCCAAAGATGAGCTTGAGTGAAATAGTATGAGCGGAATCTCATCAACATTGATTTTAATAAAGCGAAAACTCACCTTCGTTTGTACATAACACTGCCAGATAGTATGAAACAAAACCTCCGAAGCAAAACCACTATTACTCTTTGCGACATGAAATTGAATAAATTCTGGAGACAACGAGTCTTACATCGTATACCTCAACATTTGTTTTCGTTGTAGGTGGCAAATGGGACAATGGTGTACGAATGGAACAGGCGACCCAAGTTGTATTCGATCGGATCTCAGGACCTTTGATGCGATATTTGCGTTTGATCAATCAACATCACTTGCACACGCCTGCCAGCATCCGAGAGCGGCTTGCTCTCTATATGACATGCAATATGAGCGCTACCTCATTCTTGAGCCTGTACATCCCGAATTCACCCCCGCCGCTGATACATCACCCAAAAACCCGACAATATTTCCATTTATCCGATAGATCGATAAGTAATCTGAAGAAAAGACCTCAGGGTGATGAATCTCTCAAATGCCGAAACAAGAAAAAGATCAAGTTCTGCTTTCTGCCAAAAGAAACTACCGGTGCGGATTGTAATCAAAAGGCCAACAGTACTCTCGTCTTTGAAACATGGAAATTTCGAGTACTTCAAAGGTCAATGAAATACCAGCCGGATGCAACAGAACGCCATACACTGAACTCGATCATCCATCATGGTTTACAGTTTGAACTCAGTCGAGCAGAGGTTACGTTGTTATGTTCAGTTTACTGCGCGCCTTTTCTTGAGCTTTCCACCAAATCACCTGGTCATTCCTGGTGGTCAACTCCAATACCACATGCACCGAGTGTTCCAGCTTCGACTATCGAGACCTGTCTTACAGGTTCAGAGCATTTCGGCGAAATAAGGCTATGAAATTTTAAGCTGAGAATAACAGTGAATTCATTGTGCACGAAAAAAACGGCTGCCTACCGACCTTCTATGAACTCAAGCAAATGATTTTTGACATTTTTCGACTCAATCTGGAGACTGTACATCAATCTACCAATTTTCTGGATAACGCTTATAATCATACAGGTGAAGGTGCACCGTCTTGTTGCGTTCACACGTTGAATATCTGGAAGGACCCTCAGCATTTGGCCTAGACCTTTTCGAAAAACCGCTGTGCGCGATCGCTGAATTGGAAATCCCGGCTGAATAGGTAGAAAGTTTTGGCACCTTGAAGGGTGTATTCTTCACTAGAAAGGGCTTTAGTGAAAATACGGGCGCCAGGGTCCTTCTTAATCACGATTTCAGGTTATTCCGTGCTAGCGCTCTTTACTTCGGCCAATTCGCAAGCTGTAAAAACTTGGCTTCATTCAAGTTATGGCTACACATAAATTGGTGTAGGCTCATTTTCTTATCACTGAAAGTGATGACAATGAGGCGCCTGTTGTGGTTTTACGAAGTTTATAGGCATGTAATTCTCCGTTATTATTTCGTCTTGCTTATCCAGCGCTATTTATCGATTAAATATGCAGTACAAGGGTTGTATTTGGACAGCAAAAGAGATGAATTCGCCCACCCCAATTGACAAAAACCCATCCGTGATGGTCCACTGAGCAGCAATGTTTTCTAAACGATTGATTTATGACATTTTCGAAATTGGCACAATGAACTTCTAGGAAAAAGATTAGGAAAATCGCTAACCGCCATTTTTTCCCATCCGTAGCCCTCCAGCCTATCATTAACTACAGTTTGACTAATATGTATTGTCATAGGAATGGGACTACTCATTTGACTGGTGACCTACTCGAAGTTCCTCTTATGTTGTCTTGGTTATCCATTGGCTGTACTGCATTTTGTTTCAAACCATAAGATCCTTGTGGGAGAGTTTGGCGTCACAAAATCCGTCTCCTTTACAAAGATGCCCTCAAATGATGGCCTTTTTTCTGGGGAGTACTGTATTTGTTCAACTAAATTATTCAGAAGCAATTGTCTTCAGACATGCACGCATTGTTTAGAGCCCCTGTTTTACCGAAGTGCTGAAGACAGACCAATTCGGGCCACAACAAATAAGAAACGAAGGTGCTTAATCTGATGTTTTCATAACTAAAACCGTGTAAAACTTTGAGTTTCCCCTGGAATGCTGGTGCATCAAACTTATTTCCTTTTTAGAGACAACCCCGACAAACAAGTGCTAGTAAGGCTAACTACTGTGTCATCCCTTGAATCGACCCGTGAAATTCCTGCGTGAAGATTAGGCTGAACAAGTTGTATGATTGTGGATTATCAGAGAGGCTGTAGTGTTTCCTGACGCAATCACTCAAGTCCGAAGGTGGATCGAAATCCATCTGATAGCACAATAAATAGGCTTTTTGTCAGCATGATGCTGTTAGCCGTTAGTCCAGATGTTCTATTTTTTATGATACTTTTTATGATAGAATTTCAAAGGTTTGGGTTTTTTGTCGTCAAGTGGCTAAAGTTAGCTACATTCACTAGGTTAGACGACTAGACTAAAATCACGTGATATGCGATAATATCAAGGATTCTCATGCCCTTTGATACGCTTACAATCGGTAATATGAACTTCGCCGCAGTTGTCGATACAGATTATTACAAGACACTTGGTTAGTGATTTTCTCAAGTTTGTTGAATGGACAAACAAAGCTGTCTAACTTGGCTAATGAAGAAGGTTCACTACGCTGCAGCCCGCGGCCCTACCCTGAGAGCGCATAGTGGACTGTGAGAGTGCAGATCCACGTGACGTACGTCGCATGGAGAGAATATGACAAGATATGGACTCCATTTGAGGGTTTTATCTAAGCCTATATGTAGTGGAAACTGAGGATTTCGTATTCCTCACTGGCGGTGTAGGCTGTTGTGCTCCCGCGCTGAAAAACAGATCACACAGCTTTCCGTATTCGCCGGAGTGATATTTCATTTCAGTGTGATGTGCCGCTTCACACCAATAACGGTATTAGTTGATTGATTATGTCATTCCAGTTCAGTCCTAATTCAGTGAATTCTCACAGTCCTAATTGCAGCAGTTCTGGTAAATGCTTCCACGTCACAAAAACTATTGAGCGAATATAAATATTTGACAAAGACCAATTGTTATGCACCCGTATGCACCAAGTTCCAACCTCCACTGCAGCGTCGACCTCTCCGAAGCTGCCGCCTTCGATTGATCCAAACTGCAGTCACGATGGCAAGGGTCTATATTATCATGTATTTTTGAAGAGCATGGTCACAAACATAAAAAGTGAATGCAAGCCACCAATGCGAAAGAGTAACAGGAGAATATGGGAGAAAAGAAACGTCTCGTTCAAAATCATGCCAAGAACAGTTCCAGTTTGATGAGATGAATCCCAAAGTATGTAAAAATTTGATATGGAAACACGCGTCTAAAGACCAGCCATCGAAGAAAGTACAAACAAAGTTGAATGCTCTTCAAGGCGCGGTAGGCGCTAGCACAGTCAAAACTCGCACATCAGGCACAAAGTGTCCATCATACTGGGTCTGGTGTGAGATTAAATGGCAAAAATGTACATTCAACGCCATGTGCCACGCAGAGAGCCCACAATGGTAGGCAAACACAGGTCACTGACTGCTACCTTAGGAAGTCCCAGTCCAATAACAGCCTTAGCGGATTGAGGAAAGCAGATCCCTCGATAAGGTATGATCATCGGTTGGTGAACCAAAAAGTCGATATCACAACCGATGGCATGTAGGGCTGAGATTATGGCGAGGGAATATTCATCAGCCACCTATAACGCGATCTATGGGTGAACGATTTTTGTCATGTTCAATGTTCGGATTCAGCGGTTAACATTTTTTTCTATATTCATAAACATGATTTTTATTCATTTTTAACGATTTTCTTAAGTATCTCAAATTTTGTCTTCCACATGGCCACCTTTCAAACCTCATGCATTAGCCGTTCATGCTACAATCTTAAGCAAGAAACTTACCTACCAGAACTTTTTGCGTTCACCTATCTACCTGTATTTAGGCTGTTCGATAAGAAAGTCGACAGACAACTAGTGGCGAATCTTTGTTCAGCAAACATCATACAAAATACCAAATTTTGGCAACCACCATAAGAGAACCTCTATCAAAGTTACGATTGAGTCCACCCGAAGAATCATTCAGGTGTTCGCTGCTGGGCACCTTAAGTGGAGGTATTTAGTTAGCCCTTCGATTTGTCCAGTTTTGCGGAGAGAATATTTTCGCCATGAAAGCAAACTCTACATCGACGGTTTTTCATCCTTAGGTGCGTTCATTCTTGTGGTCTCTACAGTTCATAAATTTACCGTTTAATGGAGAACTAAAATTGAAACTTGTCAACAAGATAGTGAATGTAATTCAATAAGAAGACACAGTATTCTAGCGAAAAAAGCCAAACGAAATCGGAGGTCCACATTTGATTGTTAATTCAATGAACTCAGTACAAAGTTTCGACGGCAAAGTCTGGTTTGTCTGGAGTAACCTCTGTCGGAATTAGTTTTATGGCTGCCCAATTTGTGAGGATAACATTCCAGCTGGATGGATGCAACGACAATTTTGGATCGATCGCAAAATCGACCGGGCAGTGGGGCATGCAGAATTCAAACTAGCTTACCCATTCATTCGCTATGCACAAGATTCGGTTACCTATCATTTATTTCTAAAGTAAAACGAAATAAATAAAAAAGTACCTCTAAAATGCCAAGTCCAAAGTCAAGTGGATCTAAAAAAGGAAGTCCGGCCAAAAAGAGTCCTGACAAATCAAAGAAAAAGAGTCCAAAAGGAGATGCAGATAAAAAGGGTGCATCCGAAGCACCCGTGGAGGAGGAGGAGTTGGTGGTTCCGGTCCCTGAGGGGATCATGCACCGGAGGTTGCGTTTCTTGCTGGAAACTAAGCTAAAAACGGACGTGGATTTTATAGTTGGTCCAGAACATTCCACCTCCACCATAAGTGCTCATAAGTGTATGCTGGCTGCAGAGAGTCCAATATTTGAAAAACTCTTTACCGAATGTGATGAATGGAAGTTGAATAACATCAAACAGCGCGAGGAAGAGGCCCGAAAACTGCGTGAAGAAGAGCGTGAAATGGAATTAGCTATACAGAATGCTGGTTCACCTAAATCAAAGAAAAGTCCCGATGCCAAGGAAAAGAAGGGTAGTCCCGGAAATAAGAGTCCAGGGAAAAAGAGTCCAAGGAAAAGTACCGAGAAAAAGAGTCCAAAAAGTGAAAGCAAAGGGAGTCCCAAGAAGAGTCCAAAATCGAAGGGTGGAAGCAAAGGAAGTAGTCCTAAAAAGGGTAGTCCAGGGAAAGGCGGTAAAGCAAGTCCAAAAGGTGGAAAAGGAAGTCCCACGCAAGCTGGCGAAAAGGAGATCGATTTCTACAAGGATATCGTCATTGGAGCAGATGTTATTCGTGTACAGGACGTACATCCTTTGGGCTTTTACCGGCTTTTGAGGTTAGTTACACTAATATCTTCAAAGTTAACGGTAAGCTGGCGTTGCTACAGAGGACATATAAACAAGCCATTAGCAAACATAGGAATACTTAGGTACCTAAATACTAATGTATGGAAACCTTCAACCGAGGGCAATCTGCGAGTCTCATGGGAAGCACTAAGTTAGATGTCCACGATTAGTTTAGTAAAAGTCCATCGGCCGTAGTTTCCAATAGATTTAGATGCAACACTCTGAAGACAGACTACAGGGGCTTTCCTAATTATTTTTTTCCACGATAACTTCTTGGTGAAGGATGGGTCGTCTCTAAACTTCTTATGATTCACTACTGCTTATGAAGCACCAGCGGCATCAAGGGGTAAGTATAGCGTCACCTATTTTCTCTTCAATCACTTGGTGCCATACATATGCAGACTCAGTGGTTTCGGGTTGAACTTAGATGTCAAGAGGAATATTTTCAACTCTTCTTGCCAGTCGGAGGGGCTGGGTCAACTTGATGGGTCATAGCTTATTATAATGGCGTTTACTGATACGGTCATTTGTTACCTTGCTGTCCCAATATAATTTCAGTATTTGCGGTTTTTTTGCTTTTAATTATATATATACCTTGGTAGTCCAGCGTCTGGCGCCATTTTGTCACTAGTGTTCTGTAAGGACGTTCGTATTCTCAAAGGGGAAGTCTAACGGAGCATTAGTCTTCCAGCTAGTGTACCTAGAGGAAGTTGCTTCCATATATTCAAAATTTTTGTCGCCTTTCAGCAGAGAAGCTGATTTGATTCAATAACCTGATTGTGAATTAGGTCAACAGGATAATGGCGATTTGCTCTTAGGTGTACCGAAATACTTTACCATAGATAGACTTTCGTTAAACAGCAAAATGGCAGGGCTGGGCAGTACCATGGCTACATCTTCTTTGAGTGAATGCGGCCCGTCCACCCCAGATTTCCCACTCTCCATATCGTACCTCTGTATAACTACCTCTGAGCAGCCCAAAGAGAAGGGTGATTCACACAAAGCGTGAGATTTTCATCTGAGAAGCTGTCATTCCAGGAGCCATTTAGCGCGTAGCCATGCGATGTGGATTTCACGATGCGTGGTGCTGCATCCTTTAAAGTTCATTTTAATCACTCCCATAATAACCTTTATCTCCCAGAGCCAGCGAAATCCCCAAGAAATTCTGAAGTGTTGGGAGTTCACTCAACTAGCCTATGCGATGACAAGTTTTCAAAAGCGTACGCCCTCGCAACGTTTCACAATAATTCGGTCATCTTTCTCACTGCGCTTACTCTGACGCGTAACCTGACAACCTACTTGAGAATGTTGGTGGTGAACTGCCCCCAAATCCATGCATGTTGCCTGATCGACTGGTTTGCTGGTGCATGCCAGCCAGTTGTCCTCTATGGTCTACTTTGTTATTAAATACTGGAACTGACCTAGGAAGATGGTTTATGCTAAACACAGTTGAACTGCTCTATAGATCCTGCATGAACGGACGGATACAACTCATTCTTTCGTTTGATTACCCAGCCCGTATGAAGTCGGCTCTTTTCTCTCGTGATGGTTTCAGTAGCCATAACGTCACTCTAGGTCAAGCCTGCATACGTGATATGCAATACAGTAAAAACCCAACTGTACTAGGATAAACTAATCTTTGGCAAAAGGGTTAAATTTAAAACAGCGTTTTTACAAGTTGGCACAATGATTTGCCTGGTGAGGTGCGTCCGGTGAGACGCTGATATCCACTTCTTTGGTTGAAAAATTTTAGTAACTGACTGGTAAAGTCACCTAAGTTTCGAAGAAGGACATGTTGATCTCTCGGACGTGGTAGACTATCGGTAGATACAGAGATTTGTCATTGTAAGGCTTGCAACGGTCCAGTAAGACAGTTATCCACCAGTTCTCTCTCTCCCGTTGGGAACTTGCGGTGAAATATCTGGATTTCCAAGAATTTTTCCTTTGAAGTTTTCGCATAAGTCTTAAAAAACAACGTCTGGCTGACGCCGCAAATGAGGATGACAGAGAAACTTCTAGCTGACCTCTTCAAGTCAAAGTAGATAAGCCGCACAGCTGCAAAATGAGTGGCCGAATGTCGTGTCATCTCTCAGCTTGTATCTGGAAAGTTTCAGATTGGAGTCTCTTTCGAATCTCCCCAGGTACCTTTTGCCGTACAGGGTAAAATGAGAATGAAAACTAGTTAGACGGGTCAGCTATCCAGTCGAAGTCACGCCAAAAGCTGTAAATCCCGAGTTTTCCAGTGAAAAGAGCCTCTGTTTCCAGAGTTGAAACTGTTAAAACAGATTAGATATTGATGGTTGAAGCTCCCGTTTGTTCCTCGGCATAGCAATACATTGAATCAGAGCCGGTAGGGGCAAAAAGGCTATCTGACACATCAGCCCACGTTGCTTGATGAAGCAGCTTTGGAAAATGATCACATGCGAGAAACTAGGGAACAATACAATATTTCCAAAAATATTGCTGGCAGAGAATGAGCACCAAAATCTTCCACAGAAGGGGAATATTGAAATTACTGTAGTAAAGGCTCGGTTTTCAGTAACATCGACAACCTCTCTTACTGTTAGCCTATGGACATCCGGCGTAACTGCATGACCACGAGTGCAGAGTCCATAAATACCTTCAAAATATGGTCTGCAGACATCATAGAAAAAACTCAGAACGGTCCCAATGCTCTGATAACTATATAACACCCCACGTACGTACAAATCTTGTGAATCTGCCTGGATTGAAGTCAAGAACAGATAGCTTTAAAAGGAACTGTGTCGATCTCCGTTTTTCACACCCAAGTACTACTCACCGGAATAATCCTTGGGACCTCTCAGGAAAATGAATTCCAGGATTCTGTTATTCTGTCTGGAACTCTTCAAAAACCAACACACGGATTTTGGCATGATTTTTAAGATGTTCTGAGTTCCAGTGCGGTGGTAAAATGAATTTTCTGACCAGTCTGGAAGCAGACAAAGTTGATGAATGCATTATGGTAGTGGATACACGAGGTAGGAGAAAACTGTCAAGGTGATTCTCTCTGGTTTCAATATTGTCCCCAAAATTCCTCCTTATATTAGTTCGTTCAGTGATTCTGTCCTTTTCATTCCCATTCTTTCGAATCTGGTAGAGCCGTATTCCTGCCGTCAATAAATTGTGGAATTTAAGAAACCTTCGAAGGTTCTTGTGTTCTCTTGTGCTATCCTTACTAGAAACCTGTTGTATGAAGAAATCATCTTAAAACTATTAAAGATTGGTTTCTGTTTTTATATACCGAACATCGCTACGTAACTCGCCTTTGAAGTTATCTCCATCCTGAAATTGAAGTGACTATTTCAACAGAGAACCAAATTTTCTCTTGCTGGGGGACCAGATGATCTGAATCAATCTCATCAGTTTCATTAACTGGCATCTTTAGGAGATAATTTCTGGCTATTATTTGTCCTCGAAAAGCGTGCAAAGGCCATCAAGACGATAGCTTTGATACCACAAACTGTGGCGCATTTAAAATACACAGGAAAGTTGGTTAGGATTTCCAGAGCTCACGCGACTTACTACTATATTCGACATATGTCAACACTAATCTTTTAAAACAGTAAGACCGTGGCGTGTGGGAAATGAAGGTAAGTAAAGAAACTGGTACAGAGACTAACTTCGGAATGAGGTGTAAGGAAGTTGTAGAGTCAGTGACGTGTGGAACATTCTTTCAACATGGTCAAGAAGCTGCCTTCATGAGATCCATATGCTTCATTAAGGATCGATGCTTCCGTTTACTTGATAATATTGCTTTACGGTGTTGTGTGCAGCGTATTGAATAGTGTTTCCCAAATCGGTGCCCAAAAGGCAAAAATTTCATCGCGTTATTTTCTGAAGAAAGAGAATTCCTGTACATTGTATACTAAATAAATGTCTAGGAATCATCATTTCAGAATACTCGAAAGTAATTGTGGGGCCTTTGACATTGCTGTTCGCTTTGCAATTCAAAACAGTTATGAGCCAACTCATGATAGAAATACAACAACGGCTACAAAACGAGGTTTGGCTCGTCAGAGTGAAAGTCGACAATAAGAAGGTAGTCATCTCTGCTGCATGACTGTATATCAATAATTCAAGAAGCAATTTTCCCTTCCAATGCAGCACCTCAGTCATCAGTGAAGTGAGCGCACAAAATAGACCAATGTTTACGATCTTCTCTGACATTCTGAACGAGAGTGAATGTGTGCGGATTCACAAAGAGGCACATGGAAAAATATAAAGCATTTCATTTTGTTTGCCTCTCAAGAACACACACAGATGTGACACTGTTTTGGGCCGCAAACCAGATAAGCTTTGTTTTAAATGATGGATGTCTACTAGAAACCCATGCTAACAGCCCATCACCAAATGAACTCAATATAAATGCGGCAATATCGAAGGTGAGATGTCTGACAGGATGACGTAATTAAACACCTAACCCTTAAGCCCAAGGACATCCACGGCATGTGGAACTAGTTTCTTGATCCAGTACCAAGTGCGCTTCAAGATTGCTATCGGAAAACTCGTGGTTAGATTGACAAGCGGGTAGACAAAACACACGAAGGGATATCATCGTCTGTTTCATTTGCAGGGCTTCACCGTGTGTGTGCTCTGTTATGGCAGCTTTCCAAAATACTTTAACTGATTATCGACAGTTGATGCTAATCTTTCCAAGCATTTCAACCACCTTATAACAAGCATTTCGATGTATGCCACTGCGCTTTCTGAAATTCGGGCTAGTCTCTTGTTACAGCACTCAGTACAAGTTCCACCACACCGTGCGCCAAACGGCTACGACCAATTAGTGACCAACTGTAGACTGGCTTCTTAATGAAGCACAATGACGCGGAACTAATAGCCTTGTTTTTTTGGACTTTACCTTTGCGTTCATTTGCAATTGAATTTCGGTCTTCCGCAGATTTGACCAACCCCACTCACCAACAGCACCACGAACGATAAAATCTGCTCTCAGAAATAAACGACCATTGTAATAACAGCTGGGGGCATCATTTTCATAAGTAAAACGATAACTGCTGTGCACAAGTGGGTGAGTATTGAAATGCAAATTGTGTTCAGCGTTAGTCCATCAATCCGTACATACAACGAAGAAATCAAATAGTCAGGTGAAAGCCTGGTTTGACATCAGATGTTTCGTGTAGTTTGTTGCATTTGGTGGCTTCGTGCCAATGACCGACTGAACTATTAATCGTGATCAAAGGTCAGCCTCGGCTATCAGCACGTACAGTAACATACACGCACCCCAACTCAACGCGAAACCACCAACCCATCACTACGCACGACTACGCTCCCAAACAACGCACTGATGATGTGACCCCGATTGGTGATGGAAGGTTTGCAATAAAACTGCCCAGCTCAGCGAAAAAGCCAACGACCATTTACGCCACCCGAGCTACCGACATTTTTGTCATAGAGACGTGCTGTTCTGATGGTTGACGAATCTGCTGTTTCATATCTGGTAACTCTACAAACCTGATGATAGGTTTCAATGGATTCATTTGGACTCATTCCATCTGATCTGATCTCCTATATATTCAAGCTTGTTACTGTCAAGACTAGGCTGCATTCAACTACAGTGAACAGGATGAGCTAAACAAGCTAGGACAATTTTTTTCTATTGTGGTCACAGACTGAAAATAATCATCATTATCAGCTGTAAGAACCGCGTACTTGTCACGGGGTTGTAGCTGCCCCAGTTTCGGTCCCCGATGATTTGGGGGGGGGGAGGGGGAGGTAGCTGCGCATTGCAGGCGTGAGCTAATAAATTGGTGCATAAATCCAGCACTGTCAGTGGGTTGCCAAGTGGAGGTTGGGGTTGGAGGATGAGCTATGCGTTGACAGCACTAGCTTGGATGCACGAGCGCCATTGAGGGCGCGACTGGGCCATATCTTACGGTGTCTCTAACCATTGATTTAGTCCGTCTCGGGGTCTCCATCCAGGAAAATGGCCCCCACTGTATTTTCTGTGGCATTTTAAAGACAATGCACATTTTTTGTCCGCACAAACAAGTTCTTTTTATATCTGTTCATATTTAGCTGTGTTTTTTAATTATCTGATCCGCACAGATATGTGTACTACGATGAAATGTCATTCACTGGTGTCGTGGGCACTCTGAGGACACTGTATGCAGCCAGGAAATACTGTTTCTATGACTTAGCACGGGCTTGTGTCAATTACTTGGAAAACAATGTGTGCATTGAACATGTCCTCAAGCTCCTCAAAGCAAGTTTTGATTTCAATGAACCACGATTGCGTAAACTTTGTATGCGGCTTATCATCAACGATACATTCGAAGTCCTCAAACGACCCGAATTCAAAGACGTCCATCGAGATCTTGTTGTGCAAATACTTAAGCAAGATGTACTCAATATTCGCGAAATAGAGCTATTTGATCAAGTGATGCATTGGGCTGAAAACGAGTGTGACCGCATCGGCATCCCAGTCACAGCTATGAATCAACGAATTGCTCTGGGCAATCATAACTTTGCTCATATTCGCTTCCCGACAATCTTGCCACACGAATTTGCAACACATGTGGTCGAATCGGGTGCACTGAGGACAGACGAGATCATCTCTATTCTTCAGTACCACATAACAGGTGAGATATTGTGTGCAGTTACATATGCAGGCAATGTTTCTTCTGCTATTGCCTTTGTATATGCCACTATTTTATGACGCATAATACGTATATAGAGTCACCGGCTTTGGTGACTTTTAGGACGGCCAATCAAGACCACACATTCTAAAGCAACGCACATTGTGAACATTTTAAAACTCTAACCTGTACATTTCTTGTATAGATAATAAACTGAAAAATGATTACTGATATTTTGGGCATCATGGTTGTGTAGCAGGTCGCTCACTTAGGTCGGCAATTTAAAAGAGGGATCTTGCAAACGCCACACAAAAACTGTAGGACCCCATTAGCTGGAGCGAGATGACTTAGGGACGGGATGGCTCAGTGGTTAGAGCACCAATTTACCGACCGGGAATTCCATAGTTCGAAACGGACATCTGCCTCTCGACTTTCCCTGTCTAGACTTGGGCAACCTGGCAGTATCCCAGCCCTCGTACTTTCTTCCAGTGGTATGGCAGCAGGGCACCCAAAGGGTGCTACATCTGAACGATTTTGGCTGCATTGCTTTGCTTGGTATTTTTCATCTAAGACTCATTGAAAACTAGTGGAAATTCTGTCCCAGACTCACTTTTCACTTTCCAATGACTGATTGATAGACTCACGTGTATCCACTTGCTACAACGCCCTGCCGATTATTTCACTACATCAATCAAGACAGTCTCGAGTGTTTGAACTTTTTCCAACCTGCATGGGGTTTTGATCGCAAACGGACGAGCGAAACCATCCGAGATTGTTGAGACAGACGTGTTTAGCCCTCAGAAACATCAATCACTTCAATGGAAAATGGACCACAACAGTCCGCCATTAGGTTCTAAAGGACCTATTCAAAAGCGGTTGTCACCCTTTAGTGTCCTAAAGCACCTTGTTTCATTAGATGGGATAGACTGAACAAGAATTTTCTACATCTTTGGATTTTACATCACCTAGAAGTGCGATGAAATGGTTAAATTTTTAATCTAAACCTGATTAAGTGATAATACATTGAAATATTCTTCCTCAAGAAGGGAATTATAAATACCACTCTCTACTTCACACAACAGATTACCGGTTGAAAACCTGAGAATTAAGCGAAAATTCAACCGTTTTGAAACCAGTCTTACCAAATGACCACTAGATTTTGCACTATTTTTCTTAACTAGGTTGCTTACTGAGTCTGAGACGAGGTAGATCTATAACAAACACAGTATCTTATGCGTTGTTTTTCTAATTTATCCTCGTTTACTCCTGTTTCATAAGGCAGGAACAACTCATTTTGGTTTGCCTTGCTTATCACAACCAACTGAGAGCAAAAATAATCAATTTTCACGCATTTGCACGCATTTTGAATATTCCCTGCCTCGAACGCAGAAGTGGTAGGTAAAAGGAGCCAAACCAACCTAGGGATTCTATTGCTTATAGCTCCATGACGATGGAGGATGTGAATGGTAATTCTGGTTTGGACTTATATATTATATTTTGTATTACACTCCGAGTTATACTTTTTGTGCAGCGTTGTCTCGAAAATCACTGTCATTTCTGGTGAAAAAGTGCTTCACACTTCATAATATTCATGAATTTTCTCGCAACTTAGGACGAAAACCCAAGGTACCATACTCGTGTAAGACGAGGCGGCGTCCATGCCTGGATTTGTCTCCGCTGGATAATGCAAGTATAGCATTCTCCGAACAAACTGACGTAACTTTCCTCGTCTACACCGGAAATCCAAGACGAGCTCACAGTTTCCGTGATATCTACATACCAGCCGGTGTTCTTCCACCTGTTAAAACTTTGCTTATCAAAGAAAGACAAAGGACCGGTTCGCCACCAGGCAGATTCCACCTTACAGACGATGAATTTGAAGAGGTGGACGCAAACATAAAACATCTGGCGAGACTGTATTCCGAACGTGAACATTTCGAGTTCACCAAAAGTCACTTGGCACTTATGCGCACTCACTACAAATAACTTGCATCTTCCATTTTTGCTGCTCATAAATCAGATCCGTATTTTTCAAAAATCACTGGCCGTGTATGTTGTGATTGTCCAATACCATCCAGTCACAGTATCTGCGGATCAACAAATGGTACATTTTACTGCGATTTCATTCCACAAGACCAGTCTTCCATTCTTGTCATCAGAACAAATTCCACCAATGTACTATCCAAGCTAATGCAACAGCGAATTTCTATTGTTGCTTCGACCGAAAGATTCGGAAGGTATCCCCAATCTTTCCACAATCAAGCAAGACGCTACTCTTCTGCTTGTAAATGAAAAATTGCTTTCTATTTCATTGAACAAAGTTTGAAACAAAGCCGAAGTATTTTGCATTTAAAGGGGCAAACAATCAGTGTAGCCTACAGCGAATTGAATTGGGAAGCCTCCCGATCCCCAGATGTGATATTTTATATATCCTAAGCGCGTCAATCCGAGCAAATGTATACGATAGAAGTGCACTGTACGGTGTGTTGCTGACAAAACAACTGGACCCTTTGGACGTAATATGCAAGTCACGAGCCGTAAAACGAATATTTTGTTGTAATTTCAAAACTTGGATAAACTTTTTGTGCTGCCAGCAAGAGCAAAACAGGCATGGGAGAATGGATATCGGCTATTGAAATAGGGCAAAAGCTACAGATTGTGGTGAGTTGGAATCTATGATAGCAATGCAGTTTGGCATTGACTATGACAAATAGGTTTTAAAGCCCCCTCACTTATTTAGGTACCACCAAGCAGTAAATTAAAAAGTCAGAATTCAACAAAGTCCCATGACATACATTGATACTGCAAGATTCTGGAGTTATGTAATTGTCATGAAGCTGTTTCAGCGAAATCCGGAGATCAAGGGAAAATCAACAGGGAAGAGGATTGTGCGTCAACAATCGAAATTTATATTGCAATTTGGCAAAAGCCCTCAATTCAAAATGACTCAGTTTGGCGACTGAATACCGCGACCTCCGACCTCAAGGACGACTATATTTTTCCGGTCCACATGATTCCTTAGTGAGCTTCACTACGGATGGCGTGTACATCTTAGCCGATACTTCTCTATTTGTCGTCAAAATTAGTTAAACATCCGGTCGAAGGACTTTGAGACTTCTCGAAAAAGCATCCCCAAAAGTGAATAAAGCCCTCAATTTTTTTGGGACGAACAGCGTTATCTGTTCTGAAGTTTCCGTGGACTAGTAATTAAGCATGACGCGAACACAACACGGTGTAGATATCAGCCGGTCAGTAGTCATGAACTAGCACTTTAATTGCTTAGAGAATCAATAACTCCACCTTTTATGCTTTGGATTTACCATATAAAGTATGCTCCGAAATTTCATTAGTTGCTGTTCGGTGTTTGGTCATATATCCACTAATCTCCTGGAGAAGAGTTACCATCCACATGGAGATATGTTATCTTTTCACAACAGGTGAGTAGTATTTGTATGCTAATCCATTTGCCAAATCCGGCTTTTCACGGTACATAATTTGAGTAACATACTTGGGACAAAACCGGAGATACGTGAATTTCATGAGCCATAAAATGGTAAAAAAAATCTATAATGCTGTTACTACGGAATGAAATCGTAATCTGGCGTCAAATGCTGCGAGGTATGTCTAGCCTCAACCAATAGAGATATGCGGTTTCATGGTTGAACTCATATATAGTAGTTGCGCGTTAGTATCTTAAGTCCAGAAGGCTTTCCATGGGAACAAATCAGGTTTAGGTCATTTTTCAAGAATCAATGGGAATCGAGCCACTGTTGAGAGAAATTTCGCTGGTTGGGTTTGTGTAGACGGTTAGATCGACAGCTTGGTAATTTGCTTGCAAACGTGTGATTACCAATCCAGGTGGCATAATCCTTAACCATAGAAGGAGTTCCATCGAGGACGTTGTCGGTCAGTGTATATCAGAAGAGATAGCAACTAATTCAGCTCCCAAACATTGATGAAATTATCTAACAAGTTGGACGCAAGCTGGACAATATGTTCGTCTCGGTATCATTATAGTCCATTTTACTTTGTAAAATGCGACCTAACTGAGCATGTTAACACGTGTTTTAATGTTGATAGATGTCACACACACATGGCAATAACAGAGCTCGGCCTCATTCAGTGGATAACTGTGCGCAGCTCGATCAGATACCAGCCACACATTGAGCAGATTAGCTATTACATGGGTTTGCACGAGTAAAACTGTTTTATGCAGCCATTTAGTCGTAAGATAAGAAAAGCTACAATTGTGATTTGCATTTTATACTTGATCTCTATTGTCCTCTGGTCAAACCGAATAACAATACAGCTGAAGCAACGAAAGGATACCCATACCTCTGAGTAGAACGAAATGTTCATAGGATGCGGAAACAGCAGAGAAAAGTGTCGTGTTTGTCTCCAAGTTTATTCAAGACTATTGTAAACCTGGCCGGAAATCAAGCCACGAAGAAATACCAACGGCAAACATACTGATCACCGTCGTAGCTGAAGTGATCACATAAAACATGTGGTTCTCTGCAACCTTGAGCTCAAATGAGGCACCTGAGGCGATATCACACTTAGAACCATCATCAGAAATCCAGGAAAAATTTATTCAACATCCAGCCGACATATTAAGCGAAAGATCGATTTTCAAAAAAATGACAAAAGTGTTGATCGGCGCTACTGCACATCAAGGGTAATACGCAAGACCTAAATGCTATTTCCACGGCCTCACTGTGTCAGACCAAACATCTAATTAGGTATGTGCTACTGACAAAATTAATAGTAACATGTTGAGTAATTTGAGATTGACAAACCGAGTATAACTTACCGCTCAATCGAAGGTCACACCAATAGAAGCGGTTTTTTCGGCAGAGGAGTTTATGGTGATTGCTGCTGGTTGATGTAACTAGTTGCCAACTTACCTCTTCTTGCAGCTAAAAAACTTTGTTCCGTGGCGCAGAGATCAACACATGATCAGGTGGTTAACTTCATTGCAATGGTGTCTTCAATGAACTGCACAAACGTCTGGTAATGTACGACAGCTGAAGCCTTAAAAGAAACATGGTTTTCATGATGAAGAAAGGTACCTTTAAACTGGAGTTACGGTATGGAGATACGTAGGATGACAGTCCGAGTGGATCCTTGATTTTCCGGGAATAAATCTGAACCCTTTTAAACCCTATAACATGAGTGTAATGTGGAACTGCTCATGTCGTATTATTTGTCGGTCGATAGAACGTCACTGTATTCCATAAACAGAGTTTTCGTGTTAGGAGCCCAAACAACGCCGTATCAGCTTCTCCTAGTCTTACTTTTTCAAAATGGCATTTAAAATATCCTGTGTATGATATTATCTTATTCCCCAGGTGAGACATTGACTTACAGTTAGAAACAGATGCAGTGTATTAGCCTCTTGTGCATAACTTATAGATGAAGGAGTTGTATTGTACCACGGAACATATTGCGGAATGGAGTGACAGTGTATCTGACAGATGATATTTGAAGGCACCTTGATTGTTAGATAATCCTCAGTGGTACATTGTAACTAATATAGGAGACGGAGGTGAGATGTCCGTAGTTAGAGCGCGGAATGTCCGCGGTTCGAACCCGACATCTGCCTCTCGACTTCCCCTGTCTAGGTTTGGGCAACTTGGCAGTATCCCAGCCCTCGTGCTTCCATCGGGTTGTATGACAGTCAGGGACCGAAAGTGTGCAACAGCTGAACGGTTATTATTTATTTATTTATTTATTTATTTATTTATTTATTTATTTATTTATTTATTTATTTATTTATTTATTTATTTATTTATTTATTTATTTATTTATTTATTTATTTATTTATTTATTTATTTATTTATTTATTTATTTATTTATTTATTTATTTATTTATTTATTTATTTATTTATTTATTTATTTATTTATTTATTTATTTATTTATTTATTTATTTATTTATTTATTTATTTATTTATTTATTTATTTATTTATTTATTTATTTATTTATTTATTTATTTATTTATTTATTTATTTATTTATTTATTTATTTATTTATTTATTTATTTATTTATTTATTTATTTATTTATTTATTTATTTATTTATTTATTTATTTATTTATTTATTTATTTATTTATTTATTTATTTATTTATTTATTTATTTATTTATTTATTTATTTATTTATTTATTTATTTATTTATTTATTTATTTATTTATTTATTTATTTATTTATTTATTTATTTATTTATTTATTTATTTATTTATTTATTTATTTATTTATTTATTTATTTATTTATTTATTTATTTATTTATTTATTTATTTATTTATTTATTTATTTATTTATTTATTTATTTATTTATTTATTTATTTATTTATTTATTTATTTATTTATTTATTTATTTATTTATTTATTTATTTATTTATTTATTTATTTATTTATTTATTTATTTATTTATTTATTTATTTATTTATTTATTTATTTATTTATTTATTTGCTTGTTTGTTTGTTTGTTTATGTATTAACATAGGAAACAAACAGAACGCAGTTTTCCCTCACTAGTGCTCACTGTAAGTGGCGATCATAAAAATTACGCTCAAAAAATATTATCGCAATGAAAGGTCCCATATAACCTAGGAGCAAAAGGCATCGAATGTTTGCAGCGTTTTTCTGCCCACAATTAAACGGATGGGTGCTAAAATAATAAACGTCGGAAATGAATACGAGGTTCTTATTTTTACGCTTAACATATGTGAGGTCTTTTGCAAATCCGCAGAAGTTGACTCTTTCCGGAACCGTTTTCAATGTCTTGTACTCTCAGAAACTTCCATCTGTAGCAGTCCATCTTCATTTATACTTGTATCTTCATTTACGTGATGGCCACACACCTGTGGAACACTGCAGCCTCGAGTGTTGGCCCCCAATTATTAGCAATGGGCTTAATGACAACCTTGGTCTTTATTGTTC